CAAAAGTGAGTTGCTTTAGGAGCTCCACTGCACATCACGCCTGTTTCCCGTGGATTTCACGCCTTGCGACGCCAGGCGAGCTCTGCAGCTGGGCCACTCCAAAGCCGGGTTTTGCCTTGGGGTTTCGCTGATCCCTGATGACTTGGGAACTCATGCCGCAGTCTTTACCCCCTCAACTCACTCTTTTCTCCTGTTTTCTTGAAGCTCGTAGAAGCCTTTTATACTTCTGTCCCTTTCTCAGATTTGATTTAAATTGGGCAACTCTAGAAATTAATAGAGGAGGACAGACAGCTAGGGGCACAGACACTGTGATCACATAAACCTGATTTCCTGAAGAGACCCTGCTTTAAAAGAGGAGGGGAAGACCGCAACTGTGAGAGAAATTTGAGGTTTGGTATAGAAAACTTCAATTGTACCGTACCCTGGTTTGATTTTTAAGGGTTCTTTTTGGTGGCTGTTCGGAAGTGTTGATTTATTTATTTGTTTTCTTATTTATTAAATGTTCTTTTGCCTCCCAGTGGTAATTGCCAAAACCAGTGCCAATATGAAACGTGTACTCACTGTGGCTTACTCCTTCTGTCTGGGGGAGAGATCTTGGAAGAGGTTGGTGGCTTTGCTGAGCTGCAGTTGGGGAAAAGAGCAGCTGTGAATGAAAAATTTTTTAACTGGGACCGTCACAGGGTGGGTGGGAAACGGTTTGGAGACGTAGGAGTGCGAGCAGAGCTGCCAGGCAGCCGCGCTTGGAGTTGTATCAAAGTCGTTGCCTACACCCACGTGCCGGGCTGGGTCCATGAGAAATATTTGATCGGTGTTTTGAGCGAATGTGCAGTTTGTTTCCTACAACTGCAGACTTGGAAGGGTTAAACTTCGGCTCTCGGGTAGATCTGTGGCCTTTGATGTGGATTTTCCTCTTGACACCGGGGCTGGTCTAAGCTGAGCGGTCAGGCCTCTGTGTGAGGCCCTGCATAGGGTCCCTGCTCCTCGCCTGTTCCAGGGTGTTCCACCGCCCCTCTCCGCGTGGTGACACGCTGCCGCTTAATCCCTCCCTGCATTATTCTTTGCCACTATGAGCTGTTTCAGTGAGCTCCAGGTTACTCTGGAGTCCCACATTTCCGCTGTCTGTGTTCTTCCTCTTCCTCCCTGAGATAGGAGTTGAGAGACCCAGTGCTCTGCGAGGTGTCCTGCTGCCGGCAGAAACGGTGCCAAACCTTGCCGTGCTCTCCTTGTCCCTAACGCTTTCCCATGTCGAAGTCGGTGAGCTCCGGCGTGAAAGAGCAGAGAACCCGATCGTCCGGCTCCAACCTACTTCTGAGGTCCAGAAACTTGATTTCCAGATTTTTGAAGTTAAGCCTTTTTGATTTTGGTGCTGTAATGTCATATTGAAATGTGACCCTTTTGGGAGCCAGGACATATGCCAGGCAGTTCAGAAAAAGTGATAAAAGTGTGAGTAATGCCATGCTTGTGTCGGCAGAACATGGATTTCTTGGCTTGCAGTTGCACTATAAATTCAAAGTGCGCCACATGCTTAAAATCACTGTTTTTTCCTTTTTTTGGAAGTCTTCGTGCTTGTCTTCCATTCTTTTCTCCATCCCAACCCTTGTGTGATCTATAACTGAAAGAAAACCCAAGTAATATATTTTTATATGTATACCAAATGACTTTATTTGAAGGCGGGGGGTGGGGGGGAAAGTAATGTATCCCCCTGAATCTAGCTATCTAGCTTTCATGTAAGGAAGTGAGAGAAGAAATTGTTTTTTTATATATATATATAAAGTTAACTGCACTAAGCTTTAAATAAACTATTTAAATCAAGAGTTTCTAAGCTGTAAGTGTCACCCTCTGGGACAGCACTAGGAACTCCCACATGGCAGCACAGGGCAATGCTCTGGGAGCCTCCGTACGGACCTGCCTTTCCCCTGCCTGAGCTGAGAAATGCAAACCACTTATTCCCTTCTTCCCCCCAGAAAGGGAAAAAAGGTCGAAATGTAAAACATTTACATGGAGGAAGAGGCGAGGGCCCTGTCCCACCCGCACGGGAGGTTCGCAGGTTGGTTGAATGCGAGGGAAGGTGCTGTTGGGTGGCAGCGTGTCTTGGGAGAAAGCAGGTGAGGCCTGGGGCTGCTGCTTGGGTGCTCCCTGTGGCCACCAGCCTGGCTGCGTGTCTCCGGCGGGCGGGATGAGGCTGCTGTGAGGGTCTGGAGATGCTGTGAGCTCCAGGGACCAGGGAAAGCACGCTGGTGCTGGTGGTTCCTCAGAAAGGCTGGGCTCCCAGCGAGCCCTGGCCGCAGTCCCGTTTAAGTGGCTCTAAATTAACTTTGCTTTGGGAAAGCTGGCTTTGGCCTTTTGAAGTGCTGACTTGCACGTCCTCCAGACAAAGTGGGTTGTCCGACTTGTGCCTCCCTTTCCTCTTTGGTGAATCTGATGCTCCCCTACCTCCCAAGGACACTGAAAGCAGTGGCGATGAGGAGCCTGCTGTGCAATAGCTGTGTGTGCACATAGCAGATACGTTATCGCCGGTCCCCGATGGCATCCCTTATCCCATTTATAGTGGAGGATGCTGCACGTGTTCAAAGAACGAGAAGAAGAGTTTCCTTGACCTTAAAGGTGAGAAAACACAGAGCTGATGCTGGCTGCATCTGCTGCTTGCAGTGCACAGGGGTCTGGCGGGTGCCTTGCTCCGCCATCCTCTGCTTTACGCCCCATCGTGTCCGGCCGCGGGTCGGGGAGCAGCACTGCTGGCTCAGCAGGCTTCGCTCGGCTGGCATTGCAAGCTTCCCAGAAAGCTTCGGGAATGAGAAGCTGGTCACAGCTCATTGTTTGCAGTGGGTTTGTTTAAGCAATTAAATGGGAAACGCCGCGCAGGCAGCCAGGAAACCGGTTGTCATTTATGGCTTTCAGCGTGCGCATCGGGTTCACGTCCCAGTGATTTTCTCGCTTTTTTTGCTTTTCTGGAAAACTTCACAAGAGCAATGTCCGCATTAAGTAGCCAGGACCCTTTGAGAACTTCTTAATATTAAATTTTGCAGGTGATGTGAAATTGCATGGAAAGACCGGTGTGGTGTTTGAACGCTGAGGCGGTAGTTCTTGGGGCACCGGGAGCAGAAGTGTCACTATTTCGGATTTCTCCCTGCGTTACGGCCCGAGCGGTGCTCGCCTGTGTCGCAGCTTCCTCTAGTGGCCACGCTTGAAATGGTTTCGGAGGAGAAACCGGTGTGGGGTTGAAAGGCGAGGAGGGCATCTGAGCGGGCATTTTCTCATTCCTCCAGTTCTTTGATCTGGGTGATGGGCAGGAGGGATCCCTTCTGATAACTCTCTGGAGTCTTTCCTCGTTACTGTTTTCTTTTGGTTGGAAACTATCTTTATGCAGTGTATCTTTACGGCACCTTGTGAAGATGAATCTTGCAGATTTGGCTTTGAGCCTTAGGTTGCAAGTTTGCTGGGCTTTCCCAATGGTTGCATACTAATATACATGTGCACGATTACTTGGATGGGAAATTAAGCTAGGGATACCCGATGACTCCTCCTATCCCTTCAGCCATGGAATATCCCCCACAGCGAAGATCACCTCCGTGGACCGGAATACCTCACCCTTTGTGGCTGCATCCATAAATCTGATTTTGAGTTAAGAAGGATTCGTCCAGGGCTCTGTGCATCCAACTGATGCCACACAGTTGACCAGGAGGAAAAGTATGAGCATGTGTACATCTGAAACCTGCTCTGGAGTTAGTCCCTGAGGCTGAGTTGCAGCCGTGAGATCTCTTACTCTCCCAGGCTTGCTTCTGCAAGGCAGATGGTTCGCCTCGATGTTTTGTCTGTGAATTGGTAACTTGGAAAAAGGAGCTGTGTTCAGTCAGCTGTTGTGTTTGCTGAGACTTTCTTTGGTTCTGAAGAAAAGGCAGCAAAATGAAGCTGTCCTGGGCAATGGCGAAGACCTGGGAGCACGAGCTTGGCTGTTGGTTTACGTACTACGCAGCGGAGCAGGTTTGCGTAGCCCCCGCTGGGGACTGTATTGCATCTTCGCTGGTCTCCTTCCTCTGCTTGTGAGATTGACGTTCAAGGGATGACTTGGTAAGCAGCCATGTGCTATGCAGAGAGAATTTGACTGTCTTAACCTTTTTAAGTGGTTCTTGTTTGAGTTTTGAGTTAATCAATCAGACTTCTTCCCCTGATATTTCTTCCCTGGTGAATGTGTAAAATAGGTCTTTTACCCTTCCCTTTCCTAAGAACCTGTTGGTAGGAATATAGCTTCTCCCGGCGCTCAGTCGTCTTTTATCGTAGGAGGATTTTTTGATTCATTTTTTCTTTTGGCCCATTTTATGTGCCTGCTTTTCCCCCTAGGGAAGGAGGTTTGAGTATCTGTGAGCTGTACCTGCCTTACAGAGACAGGATGGCAAAGGAGAGGCTGGATTGTGAGGATTAAAAGATCGATATTTTTGCAAAGAGACTCAAATGTGTTGGTTGTTACTGAAGTATTGTTATTTTTATTACCTAAGCCATGCTGTTCACTGGGAGGAAAACCAAACCGGGGCTTGGTATTACAGCTGTCTGTTCTCTCGGCCGT